CGAGCGGCAGGAGCCTCCTGGAGGATGGAAGGAGCCCGGGGCAGGGCGCTTCTGGCGACCATGGGTGGACGAGTTGCGGAGGGAATGACCCCCTCGTCCACCGTGCCGGGGCATTAACATGCCCCGCCACTTAGGGCCCCGGGCTGGGACCCGGAGAGAGGGTGGGACCGGGTCCCCCTCCCTCCCTGAAGGGAGCATCCCTCTCCCCAAGACCTTGACGAAGGGAAGACACAAGGCACAACCCCGCAAGGGGAAATTCCAAACCGGGGGCCTTTCGCCCCACCCCGCAGAGACGGGTAACTATTGCAGGGTTCGCTGACCCCCCTTCCTCCCGGGAGGGGGTGATCGCACCCATTATCAGGGGCCCCATAGCGGGGACCCGAGAGTTGATGTGGAACCAAGAGGGGACAAGAGGGTTCGCCGAACCCCCTTCTCGGGCCGAGAGGGGGTGATCGCACCCCCGAACTCCCACAGGGGGATTTATACAGAGGCATTAAAATATTTTCTGTCTTATTCTCTTATCCTTTTCTTAATGATTCCTAGCATGCTCTTCGCTTTTTTGACCCCCGCTGCACATTGAGTGGATGTTTTCAGAGAACTATTCACAGAGACTCCAAGATCTCTTTCTTGAGTGGTAACAGCTAATATAGTCCCTATCATATTATATGTATAGTTGGGATTATATTTTTCAATGTGCGTTATTTAGCATTTATCAACATTAAATTTCGTCTGTGATTTTGTTGCCCAGTCACCTAGCTTTGTGAGATGTCTTAAAACGTGAAGGTAACCATGCCTCGATTTCCTCCCCCTGCAAAACAGGGTGAGAAAACCTTCCTCACAGTGTAGAGATGCAGATTAATTAGCTAATGCTTGTAAAATGCTTTGAAATTCTTAAATGCTGATACAAGGAGTCCTGTGGAACTTTAAAGGCAAACACATTTATTGGAGCATAAGTTTTCATGGGCTTCCACTCACTTCGTCAGATGCGCCCCCACAAAAGTTTATGCCCTAATATATGTGTTAGTTTTTAAAGTATTAGACTCTTTTGTTGTGTTTGCTGCACAGACTAGTGCAGCTATCCCTCTAAATATAAATTCTGTAATCCAGTGGAGAAAGGCATTGCAACAAGCAACAGCTGGGAGTCTAATCTACACTGGAAAAGATTTGCCAATGGCAAATTTACCTAGTATACATGCCTCTTATGCTGGCAAAAATTTCTTTTGCCAGTATATGTTCTACCAATTTCCTTTATGAAATAAGCGATACCAGCAAAAAGAATTTCTTGCCAGTGTAGACAACATATTAAAAAATCACACTCCGAATCTACAGCACAGTAGAACTGCAGAGTTACAAATACTTTGGGACTAGAGGCTGTTCATAACTCTGAAAGGTTCGTAACTCTGAACAAACATGATGGTTGTTCTTTCAAAAATTTACAACTGAACATTGACTTAATACAGCTTTGAAACTTTACGATGCAGATGAAAAATGTGTTATTCTTATCCTCTTGATACTTTTAGCAGTTGATATTTAACATTGTATTTGCATTTTTAAATAACTATGCTGCTGCAAGATTGTGTCTTTCTTATTCCAATGAGCAGAGCCCTGCAAATCTGTAGATATCCGCTTTATGTCCGTGCGTATCCACATCTGTGAATGTGGCTATCTGCAGTTCATTTTTGCAGCTGTGTATTCAAATTTTGTATCTAAAACCCTGCAAATTTCTGGCTATCCACTTTATAGCTGTGGGTATCCTCTTCAGTGGATGTCAATGCAGATATGGTGGTTAAACACTGCACTAAATTGCGTAGGGAGGTTGTGAAATCTCCAACATTGGAGATACTTAAGAGCAGGTTGAATCAGGGATGATCTAGATGAGTGGTGCATAACCTTTTTTCAACTGCGACCCCCATATACTTTTGTTGTGACCCCCAAGATAATTTGAGCAGGGCAGCACAGCACTTAGATCTGGGCGGCCAGGGGCTGGGCCCAGCCATTGGCGGCCCCACAGTGTGGCACAGCGCTTAGATCCGG